AACACACACACACACATACACACAGACAAACTAGTGGGCACACTAGCGCGTTATATACAGTACGATAGGTCCCTAGAGTGGAAAGAGAGCGGAGTATGTAAGGGAACTTATATAGATTCTCGTTTCGTCTGCTCAACCAAGAAAAGGTAGCGGATGAGGAAAAAAAGAAAGCAGAACTCCTTTTGCAGCTTCTCAGGGCTGTAAAGGCATTATTCATCAAGAAAATCCTTGATTCGAAAATAAAAAAATTCGTCAAAAAAAAAGTCAAAAAAGTAAGATTTACAAGGAGAGCGATAGTTCAGTAAGATTGGCTGCCTCCACCACATTATATTCTTCTCTGATCTGATCCCGAACCAAACACTTTCGATAGCACGAAGCCATCCCACTTCCGTAAGCTCGGAACATAATAAAATACTAGTTGAGGAATCAAAAAACTGAGGATGGAACGTATTGATGAGGTGTTACAAGACACTGCAAATGGGCAAAGTTTCTACACCGCGTCTGTTCCTTCTAAAAGTCAAATGCATGGCACAGCTTCAAGGAGACTATCAACACAAATTTTATTTGCACACCATGATTTGCAATTATAAAAACCCTCTGCTAAATAAGCTGCAAATGGATGACGTCCGTGCGAATGTACGGACGGGATTACACGGGTGTAATCTAAAAAAATGAATCACAGGAAAGCGGAAGTATTACGAATGTGGCACAGTTTTCATACCCGCTCTATGGAAACAAAGGTCGATAGGAACACTTTTAACTCATTTTCTCGCATAAATTGTTTATTTTCGATTTCTATGAAAATTTATAGGCCATCGTAATATATCGAAAGGCTGCACGCTGCTGTGAGAAATAAGTGATTGAATACAAAGAGCCATGACTTGCTCAATTTTCGGTATGTACCTAGGCTTCCTTCCATACCCGTTTTTGAAAAGGGCTTTCAAAAATTATTGAAAATACTTAAATTATCACATAAATTAAGAATCTTAAATAATAAAATATAAGTTAAAGTTGGCTCGAGTTTGAAAAGATGCCAAATCATTGATGAGCTGAGAAGGATGGTGTTTAAGAGGTGAAAATTGTTTAGTTCAATGGAGACTGAAGCTTTCAGAGCAATAACCAAAGCTAAAGGTCTATAAAAACTTTTTTGTCAGGCAGATTACTGTAGTTTTGATGGGTTCGATCCCTGTCATGTCGGACGAATAGATTACTAAGAGCTCAAAGGTGGGTGAAATCACATGGCATAATATGAAGCATTAGACCCATGACAACCTTCAATAACTTGTCAACATTTACTCATGACTTGAGAGACAGAATAATGAGGCAGTTCTACTCTCAAAGTTCCTTCAAGCCGTAGCCGACAATGTGATTAACAACAAAATTCAGAATTGTCACCTTCACTATGTGAAAAAAAAACGTCAAAACTAATTAACAGCAGAGTATGGAGCGACAGCAAATTCACATTCCATAAGGCGAACTGCAAGACGAGCTAACTTATGCTCGAAGTTCGAGAAGTTGAGAAGGTAGTGAAGAAGAAAGGCAGAAAGGGACTTCACCTTGAGAATTAAATATGGAGCACCTTAAGGATATGCTGTTAATGAAGAAGATAATTTTTGCTTTTTCACTTGCGAATTGTTTACGGTAAAATTCATTTAATTGGTCACCTACCTATTTATATCATACGCATTAGTCATATGCTGGATAAGGCAGTGGATTTCCTGATACAGTATCTAGTACAGGAAGGAATGACAATCCCAGCAGTCCCAGCAACTTAGCAAGAGAAACACTTGGAATTCTGTATTTGATAGGTGAAAAATTAGTGTAAGGGAATTTGAGACTGTACTTTGAGACTGATCTCATGTGTGAGTGTAAGCCTCCCCCAGGCAAGACAAGATCCTCTTTGAAATGAGGAAGTAGCACAAGAGTGCACTGAAAGGGCGGAGCGTTTAGCGCTAGCAAACGAGGAAGTAGTCGTGGCACGCCGACACCACAAGGGAGCATTGATTGAGTTGAAGAGAATTAATCCGATTCGCACTGCAACACTGCAGGACACTTCCTCGTCCTCGGTTTGGTACAATTTAGGCTGTGTGAACATATGGACATGTTGATTATTCCCACAGAGGAACCGATTTGGCACTCCGCCAGAAAACATAGCCATGGGAATCGCATTCTACTAGACGAGGAAGTGGAGGTGGGTCTGTGAAGTGCACGAGTGGGAAGCAGCTATTTCCGGGAGGTCAAGCATGTGAAAGAGTCAGAAATAGCCAACACAAGGAATGGCACTGGTTTCCCAAAGAGGGTATTTGAATGGGCTAAAAGAATCAAGAGGATTAAAGTAGAGGTACAAGGGAATGCTTTGTAGACGATTCAAGGGTATGGAGGTTTCGAGCACCGTACTTCCTACTTCATCGAGTTCCACTCCCAGATCTCCTAGAGAGATATGTAGGTAGGGATTCCANAGTGGGAAGCAGCTATTTCCGGGAGGTCAAGCATGTGAAAGAGTCAGAAATAGCCAACACAAGGAATGGCACTGATTTCCCAAAGAGGGTATTTGAGTGGGTTAAAAGAATCAAGAGGGTTAAAGTAGAGGTACAAGGGAATGCTTTGTAGACGATTCAAGGGTATAGAGGTATCGAGCACCGTACTTCCTACTTCATCGAGTCCAATCACTCCCAGATCTCCTGGAGAGATATGTAGGTAGGTAAGTAATTAAGTATTCATTTGTACCATTTCTTTCTAACGTATGTCTACAATTTGAATAATTACAAGTTCCGAAAGGGTGAAGACAAAGAAGTCCTGGAAACGGGAGAAATGAAAAACCGAACCTAATGTCAGGCTAGTTCCCCAAGAGGTGGTCTATTCAGCCCTGGACTCTATCTGGAATTGAACCCAATCTACGCTTTCCCAGACCGTAAGAGTAAATCGTGACATCCAAAACAAAAACATTGTTCGAAATACCGAGGTACCCAATTGAAGAGATGGACAAGAACCAGGAAGGACGAGTTTATAAATAATTGATGGGCGGATTTTGTTGACCCGGAAGTCAAGAGCACCTGTGTAACCTACACATTGTAGGAATGAAAGAACAGAGCAACACATTGTAGCCACCCACCGCCGCCGTAGCGCCTGTGCGATTCACTTCCTGTTACGCAGCGACGGCGCCAACGACGGCTGTTCCCGATCAGCAAACGAGGAAGTAAAATGGCGTGCTGTCTGAGGAAGGCGGGGCCAAAGTAAATGGGGCGTGACTACGATTTCTGGCTAAGTTCTGCTTGAACAGTGATGCTCCCAGAGACAGAGGAGGATTATACGATTTGCACTGAAGTTTCTACGGAAGAATAGGTTCATTGTGTGTTCCTCTCTCGAATCTGTCATCTGGGTCAAAC